TAGAGGAAAGGGGCAATAAAAAAGGGAACAAAAGGTAAAAGAATGTGATGAAAGTGGAAGACCTCCTGCAGGTACTGGGCATGATTTATTTTCCCTATTTAGGGTTGGTGACTGTCTCCAGGTAACCATTCTAGGTTTACCAGAGTCAGGACCCACCCACTTTTCCCTGTTACCAAAGTAAGCTTCCCACTGAAGGCTCCTTCCTGCTCAGTAAGAATAGCAAAGCAGGGACCCAAGCTTACTGCATAAGCAAAAAGATTTATTAGAGCGAGAAGCATCTTACAAGGGGAGATATGGAGGGACTTGAGACAGTGCAGACCATGTCTCGCAGAACAATGGAAAAGGAGAGGTTTTTAAGGGAGCTTAGGTGGGAAGGACAAGATGTTTATTGATGAAATGGAAAATTCCAGAAATTGAGTCCATACAGGTGGGTTACGATAATTGGGTGCTTGTTCAGCAGGTGTTTAAAATTGGGACTGCAGCAGAGGCTTCTGAGTAAGGTATCATCATTTATTATGGAATGGTATAATGTGTCAGACAGACGATTCCTCAGGCTCAAGTCCTTTATCTGGATATTCTTTGCTTTCGGATTCAACTGAGGTCACAGATGTCTGGTCTACTCCTACCCCAGTGTTCAGTCTGACTTGGCTAAATGGTGAATGCTGCAACCCATTATGCTAAAACACATTATTCTTAACAGGGGGGAAAAACACCTTTCTTGCAGGGGAGGGGGGCAGAATTTTTTTAAAGTGCAAAGTTAGTTGGACATAGGCTATGATTAAGCTCACATGTGTTGGTCTAAGGAAATTCCTAAAAGCCACCTGAACTTCAGCCATGGGGGCAGAGGAATCCAGCCTCTTTGCTAACCTGTGTCAGCCCCACTAAAACAGCGGAGGTCTGAATTTCTGCAGAGGACAATCATCTCCCACTAAGGCACAGACTTTATTTTGTGCCATGAGTAACTGTTATGTCAATTAGTAGCTAGGGAGACCTTAAGAGGGATCTAGCATACCTGTGCACCTTGGTTACAGCGAAAGCATATTGTTCATTACTGCAGAGCTGAAACTGTAAATATTAATATAAAATGTATACCTGTTTAAGGGCTAAGTGCTAACAAGCATTAGAACAAGTGCTATGAACCAGTGCAATTTAACTTACTGTATTGTATTTTATTTCAGATGCCTTTGGTGCTTCGTGAAGAATATTTCCAGATATATCACAGATATTAAGCCTTTGCCTCCCAACATAAAAGATAGACTAATCAAAATAATGAGCATTCAAGGGCAGATAACAGATTCAAATATAAGTGAGGTAAGAGAATGTATAATTGAAACCAACCATAGTAGATTTTACTAGCTGGATTGTTGCCAGGAACAAGGGTTCAGGATTGCCTAGAATTGTTTCAGGCAAAGACAGAGACCAGGTTTGTTCTGCAAATTCAAGACGGCAGGAAACAAGTTTACAACCTCCATCCCACTTCGAAAATCCAATAAAAATCAGCAAATTATAAACACAAACTATGTCACAAAAAGCATGTTTTGCAATGATCACAGGAAACAAGCTATGTGGCAAAAGCATGTTTTACAGTGATCACAAGAAGGAATTTTCTGTACATACATTTTTCGAAGCATTACATTTCTCATGAGTTTAACATTTATTAGATCATGATCCATCATGCTCCACTGCTTATCTAAATGAGGAATGCTTCATGCCTGGCTACCTTCCTTAATGGCCTTGCATACACATCCCTGAGACCATCCTTCCTGATTAAACTTAAAGGAATTTTTACTGCAAGCAAGGGGCTAGTGCATGCTGCTACAGAAAACTCCATTTCGGACTTCTAACAAATTAATCTTAAAAATTATATTTCTAGTATTTTGATCAGGATGTGGTTTCAGATATTTGGAGCAATGGTATATAGTAGAATTAGTTAGCATTATTAAACATGATAAAGTGTCATTTTTTTTCCTCCAGGTAACAAAAAAGGTCAAAGACAAAAACAAAACTCCCAGAAATAAAGTTTCAGTTAATTCCTTTATCTTTATGGTACCAACACCCTTAAATATTCACCTTCTAAAAATATATTTATTTTTTTGCTTAAGACTCAAAGAAATACACATTGCACTGTAGTCCCATACACAAGC